CTCCCCCGGTCCCGCCCCGCCAGGTTGCACGTCTAATCGGTGCGTTTAACCTAAATAATCGCACCTCATAAAAGCAATGAGCAAAGCACCCGCTTAAATACCGATGCGGCATTTGCAGGTAGAGGTTTCAAGCACTTCTTACTGAGAGGCAAAGAGATCGGCTTAAAAACTGAACGATGGCTGCAGCCGTAGATACAACAAATTCCTGTCGAGGCATTTGCTTGCAGCTGTTATAGGTTGTTTTTAAGGAGAACAAGTCTGGTATTTGCATGCAAAAGTGCTCTTGCTCTCCTGAACGCATGTTATAGGCATTGCTCTTAGTTGTATTGATTGAGTAATTGCGAAGGCGATGTGCTAGCTGGCTACTTGTTTACGTGGTGTGATTTGCAGTCACAGCTGCTTTGACTTGGCCTGTAAATATACCTGTAATAGGACCCGTAGTTTAGTTTGGTCTCCTGTCCTTAAAAGGTGAACCTAAACACAAGTCAGTTTGCCAGGTTAAGCTTTAATGCTGTTGTCTGCTTTTTTTCCCAATGGCTCCATTTCTGATTTGGAATTAGTTCATCATTACTGGATGGTGTGGAAGGGACTGTTTGGATTGCATCGGGTGACAAAGCTAATAATGGTGTTTAATACAAAATGATTTTCTTTTTAGTCTAATTCTTCTAGCCTATTTTTTAAATCAAAGCTAAAAAAGTGTTGTATGATCAGTCCTGTGTATACACACCCTTCTTATTGAACCATCCTCATGTCTAAGATGGTGAGTTCAATGGCAGCCGAGGACATCCAACACAGCGTATGATCAGTACCATGGCTGCAATCAAATCCTCTGCTCGGATCCACGAAGCCATGCACCGAAAGACAGATAGCAGCAAGGCTCGTAGATGATCGCATTCGCTGTCTGCAGCAGCAGGGGAGAGCGGGGCACACAGCTGATTAATGGCTTTGTCCTATATAATAAGACACAGTGGAGTGAAGCCGGAGTACCTCGATAAAAATCCTGGAGATGTCAAGTGCTCAGGACCATGATTCAGGATGGTGGGAGAGCAGTGCTGTGGGCACGGAGGAGCGGGCTTCGCTGGGGCTCTCGGCACTGGCAGAGGGCAGCATCTATGCTGTAGGCAGGACAACATTTTTCTGTGTTCAGCCGTTTTGGGAAGTGAAGATCAGAGAAAGATCTTTCCAAACCCCTTCTAGCTTATTCCTATGGCGTCTTATACCAGTCATTTAGCCATGGTTTCAGAGGGAACTGGAACATGTTAGGGAGCCTTTGGAGGTGAGAGACCCAATTTGACACTCCCCCAGTTCTGGCAAATGGCTTAGGGCTGGGAAGTGCTGGCAGGCGATGGGGTTGCTCCCGGGCTCACTGCCGCTGTCTCCAGTTCAACCGTGGCAGAGAGGCATTTCCCTCCCGTTCTTGGCCTTGCTCTCAGGCAGTGTTTGCTGCTGAGGAGGACAGGTAATCAATGGAATTCTCCCTGAAGAAGCTGGGAAATGAAGGAGGGTGAGATAAAGCGATTAGTCCTGAAACTTGCGTGTTTTAATGTAATTGACATTGATTTAACTGGTGCTTTTTTTAAAGACTGGTGCTTTTAAAGACAAGGTGCTTTTTTTAAAGGGACAAAATTCAATAAAAAATGAACCATCAATATCTTCTTTGCAGCTCTCTGTTATTGGTACTATCCCAAAATGCAGCAATTTTGAGGCAGTGGGAACTGAACCAACACAGGTCCATTGCTGTGCCATCCTCCTTGGGCTCTGGAGGAGGGGAGCGAGCACCTGGGCCGTGTACCCCGGGGAGCAGCGGGAGCAGAAAGCATTAGGCTCGTCTGCCCTAGCCGCATCATCCTCTCTGTTATCCAGTTTATTGCAAGCCGCTCCTTGATTAAAATGAGCATGGTAGTGGAAGAGGCAGATCCTGTTCATGCCAACACCCATGATCCACATTTGAAGTGGTGCACCGGCAGATCAGATCCTCCATTTTTCCCTCCAACAAAAGCCTGACCTGCAGTCCTCCAAACTGGCATGACAGGTCTTCCTCAAGCAGAAGACAACCCCCCTGGCTGGAGGTATTTCATTTTTCACATCTTCAGTGCTGAAAAACCAAATCATTGTCCTGTCATGCCTGTAATATTGCCTCCCATGGTTACAGCACATACCAGGCTTTGTAGCTAGGCAGAGAACGGGCCTGCATTTCTCCCCATAGACTGTTATAAAAGCCAATTAGGCTCTTACTTAATTTTCCTCCTTTTTTTCTCCCTTATGCACAAGGGGAAGCAGTTAAAAGTCTCCCCTAGCTACCTTATGTAAACTTCCCAGTAAATTCTCCCTAAATTGTAATTCAGCGGGTTTATTGTTAAAAACGTCGCCTGACTCCAGCGCATACACAAGCTGCACCCAGGGAAGGGTCACTCGTCAAAAGCACAATGTCTTATCAGATGTATGTAGATGGGGGAGAAGCTTCTCAGCTCCTCCTGTAGCATTACTTTGCACCAAGGCAGCAGCAGCAGCATGTGTGTAGGTGGGTGAAGGCGAGAGTAGGAGGGAAGTGGTCACGGTCCAGACTATCCTGCGAATATTTATTCGGGCTCTAACCATTTCCCAGCCCAGACTCTGTCTTGGCTGACAGCTTTGGGGACAAGCAGAGCATCACATAATGCCTACGCTGGCAGATACTGAGCAATCATCCAGGAAGTGGTGAGGTGCAGAAATCAAATGAACCCTGTACAAATTCAAACCTCTGCTTAAGCAGTTTTTGCTAATAAAGCCCCTCGACTTTACTACATATGGAAGAAAACACTGAAATAGTTGTATTTTTATTTTATATGCATTTGTATGCAATTAGTTTTCCTCTGCTCATTTTGGCATACCTAATGTATGACTCCTCCTACGGGACGTTCCCGTTGAAACATACGGGAGCTCAGCATACAAGAATTTGGCTTGGACCTGTCATATGTAGTGGTACTGTGTGCCTAGGTCCCCGGAGAATGAAGAAAGGAGGACAGGCATGAGCACTTCGGTGGCTAGGTTGTACCTGCGGCAGGCTCCATTTTCCCCACGGAAATCCTCACTGCTTTTGTAGGAGATGATCGCAGGATCATCTTCCTCAGCAGAGTCTTCCCTCTCCTCTAACAGACTTGATACAACTCCACAGCTAGTTTCTAGCTGCTCAGAAGTGATGAAACTCACAGCTCCTGGTGTATGGAGATACTGTTTCCACATAGAAACACTATCCAAGGATATGTGGTAATGCTCCGGTGCTGAATTCCAAAGATGGAAAGGGATTTCAGCAAAAATTATTAGTAGCGGAAGTGCCAAAGCATCTTGGAAAAGGCTATTGCCGGTTTCCAGAGGCACAGAGAGACTGAATGCAGATCTGAACCTCCCTGGAGCTAACCCATGGATTCTGCTGAGATTAATTTGTGGAGTAACCTGCTGCGATTCAGGTCAAAGACATCATCAGAAATAATGAACACATAAATTCTTGCCTTGTTTGCTTTACAGTTTAATATATCTTTTTGCTAAGCATAAGCTATAAGATACCTAATTATTCTGGCCTCTGTTTTTAGAAAAAAATAGGTCATATTTGTGGACTAGCTTAAGCAGGAGCCTTCTGCTGGAGTCTGAGGATGGAATGTGAATAGGATAGAATAGAATAGAATAGAACAGAACAGAACAGAACAGAATAGTTCCAGTTGGAAGGTTTGGTCCACTGTGACAAATGCTTTGAGTTGGATTAGACCAAATGCCTGCCATAGGTCCAGCATAAATTATTCTAGGATTCTAAATGCTTTGAGAAATTAAATTCAAAATGAGTGAAGACATGAATTCAAAGTGAAGTGGTTTGGTCCACTGTGACAAATGCTTTGAGTTGGATTAGACCAAATGCCTGCCATAGGTCCTGTCCAGCATAAATTATTCTAGGATTCTAAATGCTTTGAGAAATTTCTTGCAAAATGAGTGAAGACATGAATTCAAAGTGAAGTGGATATTTTGCAATCACTCCTTGATAGAAAACTCTATTCTGCAATCGGGCCACCTGTTTGGCTAAATTTCATCCACTTTGAAAAGTAGACACGCACTCTGGGATGGAGTGAGTGTATCTGCAGGGGCAGCTGTTGGGAAGCAACAACTCCAGGCTATTTCCCTGGGTTGCCCCATGCATCCCCTGTATCATACCATACAAGTTCCTTGAGCCACATGGACAGTAATAATACGTTCCCCAAACTTGTGTGTGATTTCTTTTCCCTCGTACCTCAAGGCAGTGAAGAACTGTGATGGTTCTTCTTCCACCCAGCGCCTAAAGCCTGAACAAAGCATTGAATGAACCATTATTTGGCAGCAACCGCTGTAGCAGCAGCTTTCTGTAGGTTATCTTAATGGATTTATCACCCTGAACTACGCTCTGACCATCTGTTCTATCCTCTAATTACAAATGCAGAAAAAGCTAATTCACGATTGCATCATAAAAAAGTAAAATATAAGTGATTTAAGAGTGGGGTATGTTATGCTTCACACTCCAATTGGGAGAAATTGCTCTCCCTTCAATAGACTGATTTCCCTGATAACGGAGTTTACCTCTTTCCCAGCAAACGGGAATTCCTGAGGAGTAAGGCTCACCAGAACAGGTTTTATTCCTGCTCACTCATCTTAGATGTGTTTTAAAATTTGGGATTCACGTCAGTGCAGTTATGAACCTTCTTTCCTTCTGTCTTAGATCAGCCCCAAAAGATGTATTTTTAATGCATTTTCTAATCAGGGGAAGCACAAACTCATGCACC